TTGGCACTTCTGTTTTTACAAATAATCTTCTTTCTCTTTATGAGGAAATGTTTCAAAATTTTCTAACTACACGCATAAATAATTGGGATGCAGATAGTATTCTTAAAGACATTGCTCAAAAAATACTAATGGAATGTAATGTATCACATCCGAATGTTGTTATACTTAAACCAGGTAACAATCCGAATTGCAATATGAACGTTCATAATGCATGCAATTCGTATTATGATGATGTAGGAATAACTAATACCAGTTGTCTAGATATTGCATGTGACAAAGCAATTTTTCGTCAGTTGATTTTGTATAAAGAAAATAATAATGATAAGAATATAAGACCTCTTCTAGGTCAGTGGCACACTTCTCGTGATATGTACATTACATTGATAAATATTTTTTTGGGTTATGGTATTGCCAATATAGCTGCAAAACTTAGAGTCTGATTTTTAGATAAACTAGAAAAAGTCGTAGACTACCAGACTACCTGTCGAGTTTTGAAATTGATTTGGATCGCCGTTAGAATCACAATATTTAAATATTTACGCAATAAAAACCAAACAATAAGTGATATTGAAAGTGGAAATAATAATATTCTCAAAGTTTGGTATCGTTATTTATGTTAGGCTGGCTATTAGATAGGACACAAACTTGGTATTCAGCGGGGAAATTATGAAATGCAAATAAGAAATCTCGCGACATTTTCACCTTTATTTCCAGTTGCTGGAAAGGGTAACTATGCTAGGTTAGTAACATATTTTTTGATATATATTGAAGATGATCCACATCTTCAAGAATTGCTTAAATGTGTTTGTTCTGTGAATCTCACTCATCCTAAACATTACTTCGCATTTAATAAAGCGTTAGAAAGATTTGGCGTCAAGTTTGTAAAACAAAATATTGGGGGAAAATAATGGATAATGAAGAATTAAAGTTGCAAATAAGCTCTGTACAGACAGAACGAGAGCGATTAGATTTATTAATGTCAGAATATATAGGATACAGTTGCAGCTAGAGAAGAACGAGCAACATAATCACGAAAGAATGTATTATGGCAGTTAGCTAATGAGTTACTCTCTGCTTTTTCTTTAGTAGATCCAAAAATGCATGAACTTTTTTTAAATGCACAAGAAATAACTTTGATGGGGTTTTCAAAAATATTTACATGCTATAATCTTAGTATATCCCGACTCATTGCCATTCAATGCCAGGATGTTTATAAAATTGATTCTCGGAATACAAAAAGTCATCGTAAACGTGATGTAGTAGTGCATAAGTTATCAGAAAATCAAAGCAAAGAAATACATAAACAGCGAATAAATAATACCTTGACAGACGATCAGGTTGAAGATAACACAATACAGCAACAAGAAGATTTGGCTGAATATAAACGTCAACGCAGACGTACTACAGATAATGAAAAAAGATACTAGAAAATTTATTTAATTTTGACTCATTTTCTGAAGATATGGCTGTTGAAGTTTTGAGGCAACTTCAAGATTTTAGCAATGATTGGGATATGCAACGTGTTCGAATATATTGGAATAATCATCATAAGTGGACATGATATTGCCATTTCTGATTTTTAACACTAAATTTTTTTATTGTTATCATTATATGTATTTTTAGCATTAGTTTCGAGTTAAAAAAAATTTATATAGAAATATCAAAATTATCATTATCGTTATATGAACATTTTGTCATTTATTTAATATTAAAAAATTTTCATACTAAGTCAATAAAGTACAGTCTTTTAAAAAATAAACTTCTTTTGAAATTAGATTTATATGTGATTTAATCGACACTACAACTTTACTTAGAGGTAAAATATAGATTAAAAATGCTGATTTTGAGTTTTTATATAAAAAAATTGTTAAAAATATCAAAATTGAACACGAAAGTTAATCGTAAACCTTATCCGTCAGGTATATAACTCTAAAATTTACTAAATATACGTAATTTTATCGGCGCTATAACTTTACCTAGAGATAAAATGTAGATTGAAAATTCTGATTTTGAGTTTTATATGAAGAAACTGTTAAAAATTACTGCGCTACGTGATTTTATTTTAAAATTTTTGATAGAAGATTCTTTAAAACTATCATTATTATATAATATTAATAAATAGACTTTTAAAAAGAAGAGGTCCTGATTATACTTATATTAAAATAGCAAGAAGTTACAATAATTAGATTTTGGTATTAGCATATAAGCGAAAGTGATGAATAAGCTTTTTTATATATAAAAATTGTGAAAATGTAGTGTGCCGATCTCCTAATTAAAGCAATTTCTGCAAAATTAAGTGACAAAATCTTGTATAACTTTGGATTAAGAAATTTTACAGTATCACATTTTTTGAGTTTTTACAATTCAAGTGACATATCCTGTGACCGATATCAATAAAAAGAAAAAAAATTACAATTGTTTCTAAATATACGGGACACAGAGACCCGGGTCTCTGATATTAATTCAATGGATATGTAACACAACCGTTCTCTACTTTTAGTTTACAAACAAACTAACTTTGCTGTGGATATCCACTTTTTTGGAGGATGGATCCAGTCGAAAATTCAATAATTAAACTAGTATTAGTAGTAGCAGTAGTGATAATAAGAGGAGTTCTACCCAAAATTTCAACTATTAACGAACAGGAGAACCTTCAACATGAAGAACGGGAACCTTTACAAAGAAACAAAGAAGTACTCAAAGTAATAAAGATGGTTCTAGTTCTCCACAAAACAGACGTTCACTACTGCTATAAATCAGAACTTCATAAGCGCGCATCGGTTTCTTTACAGAAACCAAAAGATTTTATTGCAGATAATAATAAAACATGAAATACTTCTCCCTAAGTCTAATTTCCATTAATGCGTCGATTCAACAACTAAATTAATCTTTACCTTCTCATTCAATACAGCAGTAACCAACTTTACAGCGATTGTTACGAAAGTAAAGTTTTCGTACTTCCGGACAATTTTCTCCAGTTTTCCCTCTCAAGCCTCCTTTCCATTATCACCAACAGTTTGAAGAAGATCCTTCATATATTGACATTAAAAAAAAATATAGCAATTTTGGCGATTTAACTACTAATTCTAATTCTCATTTTAATTCTTATTCTAATAATAATAACGATTATAAAATAATATTAATAATAATAATAGTAATAACAGCAATAATAATAATAGCAATTTAATTAATAAACGGATCGTATTGAATCATGGAACAACAATCACAAACTCATCTCCAGTTTCACCGGTAAACTCTACTGCTTCATCACCTTCTACAAAAAAGCAATTCTTTGAAAATTGTAGTAGAGAGCAAAAGTTATTATTTCACCAAACAAAGGACGATAAAATGGAAAACTATTAAAAAAGGCAAAAACTTTTTTGGATCAAAAGAAAAACCTAAAGCCAGAATTGCATCATTATGGAGTATTATAGGTAATTAAGTTGAGAGAGAATGGGATATAGTATCCAAGAACCTCACTCAAATAATATATGAAATTTGTTTATTTGTTTATTAAATTTTATTTACTGAAATATTATTCTTGCTTATTATAAACAAATTTCCTAATCTATTATTTTTATAAGATGTTGCGAATGAATTGGATCAGGTACAAATTTTTAACAAAATCTTGGAAACGTATTTGATGTAGTTTATAGTTCAGTTATGAGTCAAGTAGATGAAATAAAACGTGAGAATTTTTATTTTATTTTTTAAATATGAATATAAAAAATATATAAAAAAAAAATAATGTATTATAAATTGAATTATAAATAGAAAAACCGGATAGATCCACGCCTTTTACATCAAAAAAATTTTTAAATTTAAATAAGATTTTACTTTTATTACATAAAATATTTTTATTTTTGTTTGATAAAATAAGGGTTGGATAGCAAAGAAAACAAATAGATATAAATTATTATTATTATTATAATTATTATGAAAAAAAAATTTTTGTTGAAAGTTTCTATTTTAGCATTCATGTCTGACTTTTTATTTTTTTAAAAAAAAAAAAATAAATAAGTTGAAATATTGTCAGTTTTACTTGATTATGGAAATCATCCTCGAGTTCAAAAATAAGGATTTCAGTTTTTGTTATTATGGATAAATGATCAAACAATAGAATTAGATGAATGCATGTACTTATATATAAATGCTATTTTATTAGATTTATTTTTATAGGCGAAGAATCATGTAACTCAAAGAACAATATATGTGAAAAAGTCATATTCCTATTGCTCTAGAACAAAATTAATACAAGGTAAATATGAAGTTCGAGATATATTTTAGGATATATTTTTGTTGATGTAATATCAATCCATTTTTATCAGGTGATCATCGGGATCCTTTATTTCCAAATCCACATTCATCAACATTTAATGATGCGATAAATTTAATTTAAGTAAATGTAGGTAATTTAGTTAGATTAGCTCATGTTGCAGCTAGACCAATACCACCATCAAAGAATTATGAATTTCTGTAATAGAAAATATTGAACCTGATAATGGAATTACTATAGGAATGGGAATTGATGCGGCATTAGCTGCTGCAAAGTTTCATTTTACATTAATAAAGAAATAATATCTTGTAAAAAATTTTTCCTTAATGTGCTAAATGTCTTGAATTATTACCTGAAAATCAAGGTGAAATTAATAAGCTTTGCTTTTTTACTTTTATTATTTTTTTTTTCATTTTTTCAGCTTTACTAATATTTTTATATATTTCAATTAAAAGAAGATGTTTTCAAAAATGTCCACCAACAATTCTTAGAGCTTTAATTACATTCTTCATTTATCATTGTCTGATATTTATAGAATGTCTGACAATATTTCTTCATATCCTTTACCATCTACACCTATATTAAAATCTATAATATTAGGTCCTGAGAATCAGGAATTTGCACATGAAATTGTGAGACAATCTTTGATGTTACCAGCTGGTAGCCCTCTTTATAAAGATATTATTAGAGGTGCTATTCATATAGTGGGTGTTTGGATTTTAAGTGTGGTTAGTTTATTTTATTGCGATTTGAATCAAAAAATTCCCAGTCTTCCTTTTTGTTTATCAAACATTTTTAATCTACAGGAAGAAGAAAGGCCACGTACTTACGTAAGTCCCTTCAAAATCTACTCTCACTAATTAGTCAAAATGATGCATCAACAACACCAGCTTCAACACAATTATCAGCTTCGTCATTTACAAGTAAATATTCAGATACAAATGTATATCTTAGAAGGTATATTGAATTATTAAATTTGGTATTTGAGGATTAATACTAGTCAGTAACAATTGTATGACATATAAAAATTTACCTTTTTCAGAGTCCTGTGTAGAAATATAAGTTATCGTTTCAAATTTTTTTTTTTTGAATTGCAAAAAAAAATTACTTTTTTATATTTTAAACATTTCAAAAATTATATTTTTAATAAAATTTTCATTAAACAAATTCTTTACTAATTTATTAATAATTATGGTATTTAAAGTAT